TTTCATGAAATTGCTCCTCCAGCTAAAAGGAACAAATATCCATATGTGGATTTTCTGATATCCACACACCTAGCCCAGTCCGAATTTGAATAACCTATCACCTCAAGATGATCGGACCTTTTAAACGTGAGCATATGATCTTTTGTCCCTTGCAAGTATCTCAATACTTTCTTTGCAGCTTTCCAATGATCCAATCCTGGATTACTTTGATACCTGCCCAGCATTCCGATAGCAAAACTGATGTCTGGCCTGGTTCAAGTCTGAGCATACATCAAGCTCCCAACAATAGATGCATAAGGAATTTGTTCCATTTGTTTGCTTTCCAATTCATTCTTTGGACATTGCATAAGGCCCAATTTATCTCCTTTCTGAATTGGAATAGCACTTGTAGAGCACTTTTCCATCTTGAATCTCTCTAGAACTTTATTAATATATACTTTCTGAGACAATCCTAACAATCATTGTGATCTATCACGGAATATTTCAATTCCAATCACATAGGATGCCTCACCCATATCTTTCATTTCAAAGTTCTTAGAAAGGAATTTCTTGGTCTCATGTAGCAAAGCAAGATCATTAGTAGCAAGCAAGATATCATCAACATACAAAATTAGAAATATAAACTTGCTCCCACTAACCTTTAGATATATTCACCAATCAACAGTATTTTCCTTTAATCCAAAGGAAGTGATACTATCATTGAACTTAAGACACCATTGTCAGGAAGCTTGTTTAAGTCCGTATATTGACTTCTTAAGTTTACACACCATGTGTTCTTTTCCTTTAATTGAAAACCCCTTTGGTTGGTCCATATAAACTTCTTCATCTAAATTCCCATTCAAAAAGGCAATTTTCACATCCATTTGGTGTAACTCTAAGTCGTAATGAGCCACCACAGCCATAATAATTCTCAGAGAGTCCTTCTTAGATATAGGAGAGAAGGTCTCTTTATAATCAACATCATTTTTCTGAGTAAAACCTTTGGCAATGAGTCTAGCCTTGTATCTTTCGATATTGCCACTTGAGTAGCGTTTGCTCGTAAAGATCCATTTACAGCTGACTCTTTTACAACCTTCAGGCATATCAACAAGGTCCCAGACTTCATTGTGATCCATTGATTTTAACTCTTCCTTCATGGCGTCAAACCACTTAGCAGAATTAACACTTTCCATGGCTTGTGAAAACGAAACTGGATCTTCATCAATTCCTAAGTCAAATTCAGATTCATGTAAATAAACCATATAATCATCAGAAATGGCAGATCTTCTTTGCCTTTGAGACCTTTTTAATGCCACTTCATGTGATTCATCTACTGCAGGTTCATTAGTAGCAACTTCATCATGGAGTGTTTGGTCATATATTTGTTGTTCTTGTATGTTGTCAAGCCATTCGACAACTGTAGGAATAGCAACCTGAGAATGAGTTATAGGTAAAGGTACTTGTATCTTAACTTCTTGAATTTCCACTTTTCGTGGTTCTATACTCCCACTAGTTTCATCATTTTCAATGAACCTAGCATTTCCAGTTTTCAACAATTCTTGTACTATGGTTAGGACAGTAAAATCTATACCCTTTGGATTTTTCTGGATAACCAATGAAGAAACCACCGATTGTTCTTGAGTCCAGTTTCTTTTCATGAGGATTATAAATCCTTACTTCCGCTGGGCAACCCCAACCAAGTAGGTGCCTCAAATTGGATTTCCTTCCTGTCCACAGTTCAAAAGGAGTCTTTGGAACTGCCTTACTAGGAACCCTGTTTAATAAATACATTATGATTTTCAAAGCATGCATCTACAATGATAAGGGTATAGAAGAATTACTTAACATATTCCTAATCATATCCATTAATGTACGGTTACGCCTTTCTGCAACACCATTTTGTTGCGGTGTACTTGGCATAGTGTATTGAGCACAAATGCCACGCCTTTTAAGGAATTTAGCAAATGGACCAAGGCATTGTCTAGTTTCTTCATACCTTCCATAATACTCACCACCTCTGTCAGATTTGACACTTTTCACCTTTCTGTCTAGCTATCTTTCAACCTCATTGATAAACACCTCTAATGTGTCTACCGATTGAGATTTTTCATGCAATAGATATATATATATATATATATATATATATATATATATATATATATATAATGTGAAAAATCATCAATAAAGGTGATAAAGTACTTTTCTCCACCAAATGATGGAACATCAAAAGGTCCACATATATCAGTGTGTATTACTTCAAGGAGCTGTGTACTTCTTGTGGTTGCTTTCTTAATTGTGTGTTTTGTGTGTTTTCCTTTAATGCAATCCACACAAATACCAAGATCAATAAAATCCAAATCATGAAGGATTTCATTCTTTACTAATCTTTGTATTCTTTCTTTGGATATATGACCCAAACGTTTATGCCACAAGTAAGCTGAACTTTCATCCACTAAGCCACTTTTCGATCCAACATTATGATGCAGGGTCAATAGAGTCTTAGCAAATAAATTATCAAGTTTTAATGTGATATTCCGAAATTCCACCAATTGGAATTTATTAAATAACTGAGTTTTATGAAATGTGCTCGTAGTAAATTTCTCGCCCGGAACTGATCATTCCTGGGAATGCTAACCATTAGGGAAAGGCTAATAGGGGAATTAAATTCGCGCGACTAAAAAAAATTCGACCGTGAATGGACTTCGACCATTAAATCGCGGAAGTGATATTTTGAGCCACTGTTGGCCGATCCAAGGATAGTTAGGGGTTAGTTCGCCACTGTCCTAGTAGTAGATCGCGGGTGATTCCGTTGGACCACGAAACGACTTGACGAATGATTCTGAAATTATACCGAACGATCGTATCCCTCGGATCAAGTGATTGATCTTTGCGATTTTAATGACAACCGAGGTTGTCACGCACCGAACGGACTTGCACGTGACTCGATTCAGTATCAGTCATGAGTCGATTCTGCGAATTTCCCCAGCAAGCCGCCCGTTAGCTCGAGAAACGCTCGAGTTGCGTTTAATAGAATATAATTATTGGATTTTTGCCCAAATTGGACACCGGAAAATTAGGAAGTCGCGACGGAACGTTAGGATGACGTTGCACGTGACACGTGTCAATTTTTGGTGCGCTCAAATTCTTCGGAAAAATTCGATCTGGACGAGAAATGGAGAAAGTGACGATTTTGCCCTTAAGGATTTATAAAGGATTAGTTTTAGGGGCAAGGGGCATTTTGGTCATTTGTGCCTTAGATATTTTGGGTCAAAGTTACTATTTAGTCTAGACCACTCTTCTCTCTCTCCTCTCTCTCTCATTTCCCATTCGGTTCTCTCTCTCCCCGTGAAAATTTCCCCCAAATTGCCGTGAGCTTCCCCCTCCTCCACCGTGGGCTTTCCTTGGCCGTTCTTCCTCCACCGCCGGCACCACCACTCGCCACCACCGTCCGGACCGCCCTCAAGCCGCCGTACCAGCCCACAAGCCACCACCACCAGCCGCCGTTTTCTCTCTCTCTTCCTCTCGGTTCCCCCCCTTTGGTCGTGAGCCTTGCCGGCCACCGCCCAAGTAAGCTGCGCCGTCGCCACTCAAGCCGATCGCCGCCACCCGGGAGCCGTACGTCGTCGCCGCCGTTCCCGATTAAGGGCCGCCGCTTTCCGTTCTAGCCGCGATAGTCTAGAACGCGGGTAAGTCGCGCTCTAAACCCAATTTAGGACTTCGGGTATCGACGGGCGATTTTGGGCGAAATCTGTATAAAGTTAGGTGCGGAATTGTATGAATTGGTAGTGGAAATTTTATGGCGGGCCTTGGGATTTAATTCGGGCATTAATTATTGGAAATTAGAAAATAACAGTGGCTGTGATCTACTGTTCATGGGGCTGTGATGGGCCAATCGGGACACAAGTTGGATTTTTAGAACCAAGAAATTATGGCGAAAAAGTCCCGTGAAGGACCGAAATCGATTTGACGTCGTTTGGTGGAAGAAAAATAATGATTTCGGTATTAACGAACTAGTGTTCGGCAAATTTTGGGGTTTGTTTCATGGACGAATTTATCGAGTTCACCTTGGGTGAAATTATGGCTGGAATTATGATGGTTTGGGGGTTATTTAGAGAGTACATAAGGGCTGTCTATGAGAAGTATACATGCTGGAATTTGTGGTTCGGAATAATGTGTTTATGGCTTGATTTGTGGTGTATATGTGTCGGATTGTTGTGTGATGTCGTGGCTGAATTGTGAGGGTTCTTGTGACTGAAATTACTTGCGATTGTGATGGTTATATGTGTGTTTATAAGCTGCGAATTACTGTTCATAAGCTGTGATTTACTGTTCACGGGGCTGTGATGATTTGTTCGGGACACAAGTTGGATTTTTAGAACCGGCATTTAATGGCGAGAAAGTGTCGTGAAGGATCGGAATTGATCCGACGCCATCTGGTTAGAGAAAATTGGCAATTTACGCGTTTTAGGCGCGTTTGGAATTATTCTGGATGGAGTTGATTTAATTGGGTGCTTAGTTGTGTAATTATATAATAGAATTATGCATGTTTGGTGCACGCGTGGGCCAGATTGAATTAATTGTTGACAGTGGCCATGTGAATTGCTGAGTGAGCGTGTTTTATGTGTGAAGTGATGCGTGCACGGGCCACGTGTGAAGGGCCAGTTGCGTGTGATAAATGCATGTGGAGCGTGGGCATGAGGGAGAAGGAAATTGTAGTGTGGCAAGTGATGGTGGGAAAGTGTGTGAAAGTGCGAAAGTGTGAATTTGGGATCGGGCCGAGTATCAAAAACTCGGGCCGCGATCATGTAGGTATGTTGCATTTAGCACATGCTAAGGCTTGAAAAAGCAAGAATGAGAATCGGTCCGAGGCACGATCAACTCGGGTGAGATCGGGATTGGACCGAGGCATTATAAGCTTGGGTTTCGATCATGTAGGCCTGTCGCATTTGGCGCGGGCCGAGGAAAGTGTGAATGTGGGATCGGACCGAGGCGTGTGATGCTTGGGGCGCGATCGAGTGTGAATGTGGGATCGGACCGAGGCGTATGATGCTTGGGGCGCGATCGAGGGTGAGTTGGGATCGGGCTTGGGGCGTGTGATGCTCAGGTCGCGATCGGGGCCTGAGGCGTGAACGAGTACGTAGGCCGGAAGTGTGGTGATGATTGGTCGCAGTGTACCTGAGGCGTGTACTTCAACGCGGGTCACTGGCGAGGATTGTGAAAGTGGAAAATGAGAATGGAAGGAATAATGGGATGAGAACGGTATATGCGCGTGTTGCATACGACGTGATCGTGATTGAGTGCAAGTGTGTGCATTATTGAGCCTGACCGTCTTAATTGATGTGCCTGTGATGTGATTACTTGATGTTCGTGAATGTGTGTGATTGCGTAATTGTCTGGAGGTACGTGATAGCCTAGGTGGGGTTTAAGGGTGAACTTACTGAGAAGTGTTCTCACGGTTGTTTCAACCGACAATTTCAGAACCCCGATAGGAATCATGAATCCTCCACCGCAGCCACCAGAGCGTTTTGGGGTACCCGTGCACTCCGAGTTGGACGTTGCAGAGTTTCCAATGGGAGATGGGATGACCTGGATTAGGCATACTACTACCGTTTTCGTAGAAATAGGCTTGCCCCTGTGGGAGGAACAGAAGTACACTGCCTGGTTCTTCCGGGATGTTGACGGGGATGAGTTCGGGCCCGTTAAGGGTTTCGATGTTCCCTTTGATTTAGTTGGGGATTGGGACCCGACGGCCGTACCCCCGATAGACGGAGAGTTGACTAGTGTGGATACTAGTTTAGCTCAGTCGGGTTTGCATTCAACGGCCGCAGCTCAGGGATCTTCAGGGGCTGAGCATGAACCTGAGCCCGAAGCGTCGCAAGTTGAGGACGACTCGATGGACATAGATTTAGAACCGATCCCCGAGGAAGAGCCAGAGGAAGCGGAGGCCGAGGTAGATCCCGAAGTGGAGCCCGAAGTGGAACCCGAAGACGAACCTGGCGAGTTTGAAGAGCCTGTAGGAGATCCGGAGTATATACTCCCGTTCGAGTAGTACATGGATCCCAATTATGTGCATGAGTATAATTTCTTCGATTTCTTGGCTGAGGAGTATCAGAACGCAGCTCCAGCTAAGTCGGGCGACATCAATCACCCGATTGTGATCGAAGCAGAGTCAGAGCTCTCAGAGGAGCAAGCTGCTCAGGTGAGTTCGGAGTCAGAAGATGAAGAATCATACTCAGAATGGACGCCTAGTAAGGGGCGTTAGGGGTTAGTACGGGGGTTCCTAGTAAGTTTTGGAAAGTAACATTTTTGGGATAGAATGCCAGGTCATCGGTCTTTTTGGTATATCGATGGGTTGTAGTACGGGGTGCAAGTGTATGCGATGGTGGAAAAATGTGGCGGTCGTAAGTTGTGATTATTTTATAAGTTGGTAATGAAAAGAAATATGTGTATTCTCCTTATTCTCCCCAGTTTTATTTGTCAGGGATTATTTATTAGTATCCGCTGTGGTTGTAAATCTCTGATGGCGAATTGAGGTCGGCGACATTCCTGGGACGTCGCACAAATCGACCAGGTGAGGGTGTCGCGTGCCCGATGGGGTTTGGGGCGTGACATTTAATTTGTACAAACCATCACAAAGCACACCAGAACCAATAAAATGATTATGTTTAAATAAACTGAAACATTTATTTCCAAACTTAAAAGAATATCCAGCTGTATCAAGTTTCGATAATGAAACTAAATTTCGAGAAATTAAAGGAACATAAAAAGTTTGAAAAAGATCTAAATGATGTCCAGTGTCCAAAATCAAACGGTACGTTCCAATGGCTTCAACTAGAGCTTTGACTCTATTTCCCATGAAAATAAACTTTTCATTTGGACTTATGGTTTGGGTCGTAAGGAATCCCTGCATTATATTCGAAACATGAGTGGTACAACCAGAATCAATCCACCAAGTATTATAAGGAACTTCTGCCAAGTATGATTCGAAACGTACAAAAGCACTAGGCTTACCTTTCTTTTCGAACCATGCCTTACATTTCAGGCAGTCTTTCTGATACTGTCTAGGTTTTTTGCAGAAATGACACTTATCATTCTTTTGTTGCTTCTTATGGATTTGGGTAGATGACTCATTAATCTTTAGTGGTCCTTCATTGCCCTTTCCATTCTTCCTTCCTGGTTTTCTTTTTAGCTCCGGGATGACCCATGAGGTTGACAGAGTGGATTCCTTGCTTCTTAAGCCTTGCTTCCTCTTGAATGAGCATACTTTGCAGCTCAATCATATTCCACTTATCCTTTATAGTATTATAATTTATTTGGAATGGACCATACTCAGGAGGCAAGGAATTTATGATAAACTGCACAAGGAAACTTTCATCCGCTTTCATTCCCATAGAACTCAATCTTGCTGCTATATTTGCCATTTCAGTGACATGCTCATGCATGGTACGAGAACTATCGAACTTAATGGTGGTTAATGTACCCATTAATGACCCAGCAACTGACTTATCAGTAGAAACAGACTGAGAACGACTTTCCACTAACTTCATAAATTCCTTAGCATTGTCAGTTTCAGGAATGGTTGACATAATGTTGTTTACTACTGTCATCCACATGAACATTAAGCTCAATCTGTTTGATCTTTCCCAAGCCATATGGAAAGACCTTTCTTCAGTGCTGCTAGAAGCAGTAAGAACAGTGGGCTTGTCATTCATGAGTGTTAAATCAAGATCAATAACACCTAGATGAGACTTGACTTGTTCACTCCATTCAGAAAAGTTAAGCCCATTGAACTTCATCATAGATGAAGCTTGCGAATGAAGAGAAACAGAAACAGATGCTGCAAAATACATCGAATGCTCACATATTAATGCTTTGAGTCATAACTTAAACACATAACATTAACTGTACATCGAAGTTCTCCTTTGGGTGATACAACAATGTACAACCATAAAACATAATTGATGCTTAAATTTAAGTTCACATAATTGGTAATTATATATACTCCAATTAGACACGTTTGCTATCTTTGGATATGCTAAACATATCTAACCAAGTATACTAATTAACCACTATTATGTTTATGATTATAAAATTAACCGGTCAGCCTTTGGGTGATCCTTAAATATTTTACAATCAATGAACTTCAAATTACCCATGATAAACAATATATATAACATCATGTCATCTCATTACTAGCATCACATAACATGGGAAATTGAATTTTATTTAATTTGACGTCTATTAGAAACTTTCTAATTCGGCCACTTTGGTGACTAACGAATTATACATAATATAGATATCAAATTAAATAATCATAACAATAATTATTTCAATTTAATGAAAAAAAATTAATGTCCGTTTACTATATGTGATCCAAAAATTCTTAATGTATATAATATAAGATAATTAGAGTTGCTGTGGTTAATCTCTAATCAAGCAAAATTATATACGGATCACAAGACATTTAATTTTACGGATAAAACATTCATATAATTGCCTACAAGGGCAAAATAGTAAAATTCATGCGGCAAGGACAAAACAGGAATTTTTCAATGCGGAGAAGGGCAAAACGGTAAATTAAATGGACAGGGGCAGAATTGTAATTTCTGAATGGAGGCCGCAGGATCCCATTGCCATGCACGTGCCCCTTCCACTGCGAGGGCGCGTTTGGCTCACGCGCTTGGCGCTGCACGCCGGCGTGCCTGGCGCTGATGTGGGCGTGTGGCTGCACGCGCCTGCCTTCATGCGCAAGTTGTAGCCGCGCGATCTTTTACCACCCGATTGTCCTCCGGCAGCCCACGTTAGACCAAAATAATTTGTGGGTTTTTGAGATCATGCCGGCGCGACCACATAGAACCAAGAATCAGCGCAAACGGCCAATAAATTTCCCCGAATCAAGCAAAATTCCGTTAAAACGTAAACCCTAATCATCACGACTTCCACATACGATCTTAAAAAATCGATAAGGTGAAATATTAGTTTGCAAGAGGTACAGTTTACCGTATTTGTCAAAATCTCATATTTTACGACAAACATCAATAAACTTTTCTCATCAATCAAACAATCAATGGAAAATCACCGATTCTCAAACTATTGCTCTGATACCACATGTAAGTTCAAATAGCTCTATGCAAATCAAACCCTAATATTTGCACAAAACATAATTGCCCATGACCTTAGAACAAGATGATTTTCATAACATCATAAGAAACGAGAGACATACCTTGATTCATGATGATTCCGTGTGAAGAAATCAATTGTAGATGAGAAATCTTTGAAGAAATCAGTTTCTCTCTCTTGACCCCTTTTCGCTTTCTGACGTTCTTGATGGAAAAGAAACCGTCGTTCTATTCTAGGGTTGAGAGAGGACCAGTTTCTAATTGGGTCTTTTATGGTCACACCATCTATCAGGATGTACAGTAATTAGAATATACTTTTCTATTGACCAATAGGAATTTAGCACATAATAATTATTAAACTTAAACCACATATGGCCAGGCCATTAATCACGTGGGCCATAATAAAATCCAACGCTTAGTGTGTCACTGGTGACTATTAGGACGAGACGGTCTGCTCATTCAGCCAACGATCATTTCATTCATTTTGAATACCGAGTTCTGAAGAAGGCGATAAGGAACTTCTGCGAGAAAATGGGGGAAGGCGGGTTTAGTTTTGTTTTCCGAGGAGCACTGCCAGACTCAACTCCTATAGCAGTGAAGAAACTCGTCAACCAAAACCAAAGTAAAAACATTTCCTTGCAGAAGTTAGAACTATTCGAAATATACAGTGCGTCAACGTCGTTCGTCTGTGCAGTCACAATGCAGAAGAGACAAAAAGGTTCCTAGTATATGAGAACCTTGTAAATGGTTCGCTTCCGACCAAAAAATAAATAAATGGTCCGCTCGCGGCTAATTTCTATCAAAAAGGTTCCGACACATGCCATGTCATCATTCCCGCGTCATTATATTACTACGTCATTATTTCCACGTCATCATATATCCATGTCATTTATTGATTGCATGCTTGGACTCGTATAAATTAGAGTTGTCATGCTACATTACTTCATAAATTTTGCCCGTCATTAAAATTAGGTCATGTCACAAGTCATTAGTTTAACAATTCATGCATGTTAAACTTAAATAAAAATTGCATATAATTTAGTTTTCATAAACAAAAAAAACCCAAAAAGAATTATGTAGAATTGCATAAGCATTTAGAAATCATGTTTAGGCTATACATGCATTTTTAATTAACACCGTGCAGATATTGGGGAATTAATTATAATGAGGTTACGTGTTGCGTTGCATTGAGACAAGCCCTATTTCTAGCAATTTATTTATTACTTTGGTTTATGGAGTGTTACATTTTTTTATTGTTTACCCGTATGATCACTCTTGCATGTTAGTGACTTAGGCTTAAAATCAACCAAGACCGCTTACAAAATATTTTTGAAAATAAAGCTAAAAGGTACAGAAAGGGAGTTAGATTAATTTAGCGTAATGAAGTCCCCGAATCCATTGAATCTTTGGTTCGTAGATGTAAAATGTACTTCCGCATTTTACTTGGTGCCTAATTGACCCTAACTGATTAGTGACAGCTCCAAAAAGTAAGAAATTGCATATTAAATCGAGTACAAATTTGCGGTTGGTAGGCTTGGGAGAATCCGTGCTAGACGTTTCATTATTGTTTAGTAGTCCATTAGCTTTCATTTAGGTGGTTTACCTCTGAAAAGGTCACAACAGAGATGAACATTATTGTCACCTCTCTCGTCGATGATTTAATCTGTTGCTTCGATACAAATGAATACCGAGGCTTGTGTTTGACATAGTTTCCTTAAAACAGATTCGTTCCCTGCAGCACGCGATCGAGGTTTCATGAACGTCTGTATCCCAGGATACAACGGTTGACAGCGAAGAAGAGATCACAGCAGCGAACTTGAACAATCTCGAAATGAACACTACCGAAAAACAGTGCAAATGCAGAGAATGTAAACCAGAGGAAGAATGCTGCCGCACGTTATGAAATCCGTAACAGTTTGAGTTGAAAAAA